CTCATTACAAATATATATGAGTAGTTCTTTAATATACAATGATGATGTAAGTTTTCACAAGATGTAACATGAAAAGTCTGGTGGTTTGGGAGACAGTCGTCGTGGAGAGAGACATTTAAACAGAATAAAGATATCACCATGCAATTACTGAATAATTTATTCCATACATTCTGTCTACTCCATACTTATAGCAAATTAGCTGGAAAATGATGTATGAATACTGAATCAACTATTTTCTTTTTCTTTAAAATGTTATTTATTATTATTGATGTCACACAGTGTTATCAAGTATCTTTCCCTCAAAATAATGTTGACATCATTAGTAACAACATAAATCCCACAGAATATTTTTGAAAAACTAGGTCATGTTACAGTATTCACTCCCAAGTATATGTTTCCTCATTTTCTCCATTTCATCAATCTATAATTGCTGTGGCATATTATCCCCAGTTCAATTAAGGCAATTTCTCTGTTTCTCTTATCATATACAAATAAATGTTTCTGTTCAGTTCCTCTTGTCTTCAGGGGGCCGGCTGGAGATGGGAATGTGTGCATGGACCCTGGGAGGGATAAGGAATAAGGACACTCAGGCCAGAGGCTGCTGTGACGCCTGCTCCAGTGCCCTTCCCCACCCCGTCCACTTCACAGAACTGAAACAATAGAGCCTCCCGGAGAGAGAGAGGAGACCGGAATCAATTGCCTTTCTATAGTTTTTCTCTTTCAAGCCTCATTTAGTGGGAGGTAGAGAGGAGTCTTCATGGATAAAAAGCCTTCAGGACGAGTCTACATGAGAAACTTATAGAAAAAGTTACTGTCCCTTGAGCAGCAGAGTCAGGTTAAATGAGTTTCTGGACGCCCAGTTGTATGTTGTTCATTTGCCTTGCCAGGTTTCACTGAAGTCACAGCTTTCTCTAAGGGCGACATGATCCCTTCTTGCTTTTGTCATGTGTCTTTATTTGATGGTGGACTTGATCTTCTCAAAAGCTTAACGTTTCATGTCTTCTTCTTTTTTTTTTTTTTTTTTTTGCACTAATCCAAATATCCAGAGGAACTTTCAGAAGGTAATTGTTTGGCTTCCTGGGTAAGCCAAATAGAGCTGTGTTTAAGATCTTTCATTCAGTGCCTCAAAGTAAATACTTGACAGAATAAATTTTAAGATAAAATATGATTTTTTAAGGGTTAAATCAGTGATGAAATATTTAATTTCATAGAAAATATTTTAAAATAAGTAAAGTAATTAAGCTTAATTAATATGTCCCTAAGTAAACATTTCCTCTTAAACTTATTGACATATTTCAATTAGGAAAATGTATTTACTTACCAGAAGATGGAATGGATATTGGTATGCTTTCTTTATATTTTAAAATGTGTTTTCAAAAACCCAATGTTTAAGAAAAAAAATTAGATGTCAGTTTATTCTATTAATAAATGCTCTTTATATATTATTTCAATCATCAGAACAGAGTTTTATAAGTGAAAAGGAACATATATTAATGAAAAGTAATTTGAAAATGACATTTTCATAACATTTTTTTCCTGGAGTTTATAATAATTTTTCTGAGACCCCAATTAAAACAGAGATGGGATGTTTTAGAGCCACTGGACACAGTTTTCCTCACTTTTGTCTCTCAAATTCCTGGACAGTCAAAATCAATTGGCAGCTGTAGAGCAAATACTAGTTTTATACAGAATGAAACATTTTATAAGGGATTAATTTAATTATAAGACCTGCAGAAATCCATATTTATAAATTAAGAGATTAATTTAATTATAAGACCTGCAGAAATCCATATTTATAAATTAAAGCCAAATCCAGTTTATCTGTTCCTTTTTTTTAATTTTTTTTTTAAATCAGTTTTCTTTGGGCATTTAAAAAGAGTATACCCAATTTTTATGTTTTTACAATGACCCAATATCTTTCTTATGACTTTAAACAAGCCTAAATAGGTTTTTGTTCTCAACCATACTATACAATACACAGAATTTTTTTTTTAAATCAGTTTTCTTTGGGCATTTAAAAAGAGTATACCCAATTTTTATGTTTTTACAATGACCCAATATCTTTCTTATGACTTTAAACAAGCCTAAATAGGTTTTTGTTCTCAACAATGCTATACAATACACAGAATATATTCAGTGTATTGCTAGAATTCTGAAGAGTGTCTCTATATAGTTTGGTGCATGTGATAGGATAGAAAGTGCTTAAGATATTCTTCAATAAGCCACTCAAGGCAAATTCA